AAACTAACCAAGGGTAGAAGTTGTGCACCTGTTGGTAATTTTATCTTTTATGCCTACATATTTTCTTTCACTCTTGTTCGTTTGTCTTGCTGATTTTGTTTTATTTATTTACAAAAACACAATAACTATAATTACACGTGACATTATAAGATTATAACATAATGTGTTATTATATAAGTAATTATTTTCATTCAAAAATTCACTCATAAAATTATATGCATATAATCGTTCAATATCACATTATATTTATTTAATATTATATTATTATTATAAACTTGTAGTTCTATATAATATTGTAATTATAACATTGTTAATTTATTTATTTATTAGATATTGATGAATGCAATGACACTAGCCACAAGATTAACTGTGGGCCAGACTCAATTTATTTTAATAAGATGGGTGGCTAGCATCACGGTCAGGTATAATTTTGGGTAAGACCCATATTTTCCGACCTTTATTTATTTATTTGAGAAAAAGAAAAATCAAAATCTCCTACTATTAAAAGTGTCAAAATATTTAACAAAAACCATATGATAAATTTGATAAACTTAAGAACTATATTATACCCCACACATTCAATAATTGTAATTGAACAATCTAACATTTTTAACATCAAGACTTTTTGATTTTTTTTTTCTTTAATTTTAGAACACAAATCTTTTTTTTCTTTTTTTTTTGGTACTTATTCCGGTATTAAGAGTTTATCCTCAATTTCCAATCCACTGAATAGAGGTTGTACCTTTTTTTTTTTTCTTTTAATTTTTTAAGTTGCATAATAAAAGTACCCTTTTCACATTGCATTTTTATCCACTCAACCTGCGTGGTTAAGACACGAACCCACTAAAAAATGATTATCTTTAGGTTGTGTAGGTCATTGGAGCACAAAGATAATACAAATTTAAACATACTCAACGTAATCCATATGGTTGATAGAGGGCTTTCATATACATAATAGACGCACATATATACTACACATGATTACTATTATTGACGACTTACAAGAAGAGTGATTTTAAAGTTAGAGATTTATCATGGATTAGAAGGGCATTCAAAAAGAGATACTTGTATGATACCTCCACGGAATCACACAACAAGCAATTTAAGCTCAAACTCATACCTCTGCAATTCAGTACCTATCCTTTGTCTTTAACAGACCTTTCACTAGCATCTATAAAATTATAAACGGGTGCCTCAAAATCCCACCAGAATGCCACACCAATCTAAACCAAGGAACTCTATGAACCTGGCTGGAATGTCATCAATTGACAAGTAGTAGCTTTTATTGATTGAGGAGCCCCCTGACTGCCACAATACAAAACTTTATCTGTTCCCTCAGACAAAGTCAATCCTTTAATCTCAGCCACCATACCAGTATATCTCCTTCCAAAACTAGTTGGTATCTGCCATCCAGATGGTCCCCACCCAGAACTTCTGTTTCATGCCCACAGTTGGTGATCTCAGCCATATTTTATAGCCTATGACGAATTCCATCTCCTGGTAGCCAACAATCATAAAAAAGGGAGGTTTGTCTACCATCCCCAACTTCAATACTAATACCATCTCTCATCATCTTTTTAACCAAAGGATCTTTCTTAAAGACCATGCACAATCCTGTGGACACACATTAATTTTATTTCATTTCATTTTGATATTTCTAAACATGAAACTGAACTTCTATATTATCAAGTTTTGATATGTGTGTGTGTGTGTGTGTGTGTGTTGCTAAAATCATCCGTTTCTCTCTTGATATGTGCAGGTATTAGCCTAGCATTTGGACTAGCATGTTTACCTATTGGTACAAGGCAGTCGTACAAACTTTTAAAGAAGAAAATGAAAAAGAAGCTTCAAACGCAGTTCTTCAAACAAAATGGAGGTTTATTATTGCAGCAACAATGTCTTCAACTGAGGGTAATATTGAAAAGACCAAAATATTTAGTACAGAGCAATTGGAGAGAGCTACTAACAAATTCAACAAGAATAAAATACTAGGTCAAGGAGGCCAGGGCACCGTTTATAAAGAAATGTTGGTTGATGGAAGAATTGTTGCAGTTAAGAAGTCCAGAGAATTGAACAAAGAGAGTTAAAGAGTTCATCAATGAGGTGGTCATTCTTACACATTAATCACAAAAACATTGTTGAGTTATTAGGCTGTTGTTTGGAGACTGAAGTTCCTCTGCAAGTTTATGAATTCATCCCCAATGGAACACTTTTCCAGTATATACATGATCAAAATGAGGCCTTCCCATTAACTTGGGAAAGACGAATAACAATTACAGCAGAAGTTGCAGGTGCACCTTACTGCTTGCACTCAGCAGCCTCCATTCCCATTTATCATAGAGATGTTAAGTCCTCAAATATTCTAATGGATGGAAAGTATAAGGCAAAAGTTGCAGACTTTGGGACATCGAGATCAATTGCCATTGATCAAACTCATTTGACCACAAATGTGAAGGGCACATTTGGGTGCCTAGACCCCAAATATTTCCAGTCAAGTCAATTTACAGAAAAAAGTGATGTTTACAGCTTTGGAGTCATCCTTTTTGAGCTCTTAACGGAGAAAACCCAATTTCTTTAGCAAGAGCAGAGGAAGAGGAAACAAGAAGTTTGGCCTCTCATTTCATTCTTTCCATGGATGAGAATAGTCTCTTTACTATTCTTGATGCTGAATTACAGGAGAGTTCTGCATGTGAAGAGACAACATAGGTTGCTAAACTTGCATATTGATGCTTGACCTTGAGTGGTAGAAAGTGGCCAAAGATGATAGAAGTTGCTTCAGAATTGGAACAGATTCATCGTTCACAAAAACTATTCAAATGGTCAACAAAATCATGATGAGGTTAGGTATGTCAAAATTGAAGTAACCAATCTTTAGGATGGCGCCTCGACTTCAACAGGTTCAGGTTTGGACTCTGGAGTTGCTTTGTCATTAGACATGGAGTCATGAATTTTCAGTGAATCATGGGAACTTAACTGACTTATCCTAAAATGCATTTGTTCCATGTAGGGGGGTGTAATAAGTTCTTTCTTTTTTGTGTCTGAAAATTTTTAGTTCATTTAATTTTTATTTTTGTCACTTTGTAGTTCAAAGTTCAAATAAAGTTTGCACAACTTGGTTAAAATGTTTTGATATAATGACAGGCTAAAGTATTATTGAACCATTTCCTTTTCAGATTTAAATTCATTTTGCCTTACGAAAACTTGACAGGGTTAAATCAAGTCCCAACACATGATAAATGACACATATCCCTTAGATTTGGTGCTATATGAGCATGAATTATTTAATCATATTCCTAAAAAGCTAGCACAAAGTCATTTCCTAATTCCAGTTCAACCATCCTGAAACTTTCACCACTCAAGACAAATTTATCTTAGCAGCAAATTTGCAGTCAGTCAAGCATTGAGCATATTTCCTTGCTTCATTTATCTTTTGAAAGTATGAGTAGAAATTTTTTAAAGGAAAAAATAGTTATTCACGCCTTCAGCATTAACAAACAATCATCAGGCTAGCATGAAATACCCTTAACTTCCGTATAGCTGAAAAACCATATTGTAAGATAACAAGGTAATTATAGCACTGAAAGCCCAGGTAATAAGACTTACCTGTGTGCAGAAGCGCCAAAGTAGACAGTTATTCCCTTGAAATAGCCTTCCAAGTAGTTTTCTTCTATCTACACGCTCAAAACAAGCATCATAAGACAAGAAGAGGCCTATCTTCAGCCATGCATGATATGGAGAACCAAGATGACATACCTCAAGCATCAAAGGAGGAGAAGACAACCATGAAAGTTCCTCAACTTGATTTAGGTTCACATTCCGAGGCAAAAACATAATGATATTCGGCGTTATCCTCTGAGCAGCTTGAAATATTGAGTATCTACAGGATATCTTGCAATCAGACATACAACAGAGCGACTCAAAGTTCAAAATGAAATGGGCATGTTACAAGCATCAACTAAATAACAAGCATAACATAAACAAAGATACATCACAAAAGGTTTATCCTACTCAATTCCAATCCAAGTGATATTTTAGTCTGCCAAAGAGACTCAGCATGAAATATTATACATATATGCACCTTTGCTTATGTTTTAAGGATTACTTTAAATTTTAAGAAACAAAAAATAATAACTCATCAATAACAATACCAAGAAGTTGTCTGGCTTAGCTTATTTCTATGTTATGAAAATCATAAGGTTTTGAAAACTTAAAGAGGAAGTTCAAAATTATTGAAGCTTGGATGAACAAATTGTGGTTAAAAATTTTAACTAAGCATAATTAGACTGGATATCAGTCGTTCAGAATCTAATAGTAATGTTTACAAGATTATTGAGTCTGCAAACTTTGAAATCACTTGATGCCTTCCCTTTAAACCATTGCATTAAAAAGTGATAACATGCAGGCAGCAGGAAATAAAAGTTAAACAAGTCTCTAAAATTTGAACAGAACAGAAAAAAACCCAGCAAACAATCACACAAATGCACACATACCCATCTTTTGGCTTCAGCAAATCCATGGTGAAACTCTGGATTGTTTTATATGATGGAACCCCCCACGGTGGTGAAACAAATACTACATCCCCCTAAAAACAGAAAAGAAAGTTGAATTAGGATTGGAACTACTTAAGATCAGTCAGAAGGTCCTAGTCACCTTACACATTAAAATTCTGCAAGGAAAAAGAAAATATAACCCAGTCCCTATGGTAAAAAGGAATTTAAAAAAGAAAAATCAAAATGCTACTCAAATACTTTAACTTAAGTATTGCAGATGCAAAACTTCTTAAGTTTCATCTCATCAAAACTCTGCAAAGCCTATTATTGGGAATGTGTCTATAAACATCAAATAAAAAATAAAAAATAAAAAAAACCACTTAATTAGTTAAGTTCAACCCTAACATAAACATTATCCAAAATTGGCAGCAGTAATGAAAACAGAAGAAAGTACCTTCAAGTAAGGAGCAAGTTGGAAAAAGTCTCCAATAATAAAATCAATATAATCTTCCACTCCATATATACTTGCATTATTGAAAGCCATTACAACTTTTCGAGGGTCAATGTCTATAGCAATAACAAATTGGCACCTAAAAATTTAAAACTATATGTTAGGAGACTCCTATATGGCGAAGGAGTATAGAGTTGATATGGATAGAATAAAAGTATAATATGAGTTCAAGCAAATTTACAACAAGTAGTCAGTTGTCAAGATAAACAAAATTCAAAAATACTCGTGTGTAATATAAAGAGTTTCAGATGTTCAATTGGAAGTCTACCTGGATCATAAAGCCATGGTGCCTTCTTATTGAACTGAAACAAAAATGTTCAATTGGAAACTCTCATGAGAATATTGTCAAACCATCCTAATAAACATCTCTTTCACATTTCATAGTATAAGAAATTTATTCTAGTATCTGAAATGGACTAACAAGTTAGTTCTATCCAAGCAACTA